GATATTCTAGCATACAACCCTAAGCGGCAATCTCATCTAGTGCATATACGACAGGTGTTTGAGGGTTTGAGACAGAACAGGCTCTTTGTCAAGCTTAAGAAATGTGTTTGGCCAGCAAGAATTAGAATAACTGGGTCACATCATTACATCGAATGGGGTACAAGTCGATCAGAATAAGATTCAGGTAATGTTAGACTGGCCAAACCCGGCCACTATCACAAAACTCTGCGGATTTTTAGGACTAACCAGCTACTACAGAAAATTTTTAAAAGACATAACAGGTTCTTTGTCAAGCTCAAGAAATGCGTGTCTGGCCAGCAAGAATTAGAATATCTAGGTCACATCATTACACCGAATGGGATACAAGTCGATCAAAGTAAGATTCAGGTAATGTTAGACTGGTCAAACCCAGCCACTGTCACAGAACTCCGCGAATTTTTAGGGCTAACCAGTTACTACAAAAAATTTGTAAAAGATTATGGGCTCATTGTCAGACCATTGACACAACTCCTCAAAAAGGGGCAGTTTGAATGGAACGGCAAAGCAGAGAAAGCCTCTAAAAACTTGAAGTAGGCCATGACCTCCACCCTCACACTGACTCTACCTAACTTTAGTGAGTCATTCACCATTGAGACTAATGCCTCAGGAGTAGGGATAGGAGTTGTCCTCAGTCAACAAGGGAAACCCATAGCTTACTTAAGCAGAGCTTTGAGAGTCGCTAAGCACTCTTGGTCCACTTCTGTCAGGGAAATGTTGGTCGTTGTCATTGCAGTACAGACTTGGAGACCATATCTGATGGGTAGAAAAAAATTTATTCAAACAGACCAGCGCAGTCTCAAATATCTACTCAAACAGCAGATCACCACTCCAGAACAACAGAAATGAGTATCCAAACTATCTGGGTACGATTATGAGATCACGTATAAATTAGGCAAAGAAAATGCAGTCGCAGATGCCCTCTCCAGAAACGTTACATGGTCGTCCCTAGATGCCCTATTCATCCATCAGAATCAGATTTGGGATGACATCACGAAAGAAACAGAAACACACCCCTATATGCAAAAGCTCAGTAAACTGGTAGAAGAGCAAAAGAGTGGGCCTTATACCGCAAGAGATGGATTGATTTATTATAAGCATGGGTTAGTCCTACCCCCTCGGTCTCATCTGATATCACAACTTCTACAGGCTTACCATGATTCACCCTTAGGGGGACATTTCAGAGTCCTTCACACCAAAAAAAGATTGACACAGCAATTTCATTAGCCATCTATAAAAAATGTAGTTCAATAATATGTATCTGCTTGTGAAATCTGTCAAAGAGTTAAGATAGAGACACTCGTACCTGCAGGTCTCCTCCAACCCTTACCCATTCCATGCCAAGTGTGGGAAGACATCGCGATGGATTTTATAGAGGGCTTACCTCCCTCCAGTGGCAAGAGCACCATTCTGGTAGTAGTCGACCGCCTCAGTAAGTCTGCACACTTCCGGGCACTAGCTCACCCCTACACAGCTAGAACGGTGGCTGAGAAATTTGTAGAGGGAATAGTTAAGCTACATAGGATGTCCTGCACTATAGTTAGGA